TCATTAGACTAAAGGTCCCTTGTGAGTATTCTGCAGCTTAGTTCACAGCTTTCAGCTCCGCCTTAGAAAATACCAGGATGCAGCATTTAAGTCTGGTCCCTGAGATGAGCAAGATGAGCCCCCAGGACATCCTTTGAGGCCTCTTATTTCTAGTCACTTTGAGTATCATTTTCTGTGTTTGTTTGTTGGTTGGTTGGTTGATTGGTTAGGTGTACAAGGGATTGAACACAGGACTTCACAGATGTTCCATGCTCTGCCACTGAGCTACAGCCCCTTTCTTTGTTTCTCATTTTGAGACAAAGTTATCTGACTTTGAATTTGCTCTGTAACCCAACAAGGCCTTCATTTTGTAATCCCCCTGCATCAGTCTTCATCCACCACAAGGCCCGGCTTGTATATAAATTTTCAAGGTGTTTTATGATGTGTGCATGTTAGTGTAATATTTATATAGTAGCACAAATTGACTTCCAAACAAATATCTATGTTGGAGATGCTGCTCAAAACCCTCCAAAAGGAAAGGATGCTTGCATATCAAAAATAAAATCTAGAAAAATGAGGGATGGGGAGATGACTCAGCCAATCAAAATTAGGACAACCAAAAATGTCCAGGTTCTTCATCTAACATCTGGGATGCTCTGCCCTGGCCCCTTCAGCCTTCTTCTCTGAGCTCTCACCTCTCTACCCACACATCAGCTAGCCTGGGAGACTGTGTCTGCATCCTCCCCATACAGGTTTTTAGCCTAATTATTTCTGTCTCTCCTCCACATAGCCCAGGCCTCCAGTTTCTTAGACCCCGTTCCCAGACACCTTTGGAGATCTCTATTACCCAAGGATTCTGTGCTATTTTATTTCTGTCTCGCCCAAGCCCCAAAGTACTCCAGTGTGGGACTGGGCAACTACACACTGAAGGTCACATCTTCTGCTCAACATGTAAACAAGAGCTAAATCAAGTTTTAATGGATCAATTTGTTGTGTATGAAGTACTGAAGCAAAAACTCCACAGCCCGAGATGTTTGCTGCCTAACTGTTACCAGAAAAGCCTGGCTGCCCTGCCCTATAGAAGAACTTAAGACACTCCCTTAGAGAACCACCACATCCCTCATCCTCTGACCAGGGCAAGCTCTCAGAGCAATATTCTTGCCACTTTAGGTCTTGTATTTTGCATGCTACATTTGGTCTCCTGTATCCCTGTCCTTTGTGCCCCTGCCACATCTAGTGGGTCATCCAGCATACTCGCCAAAGACACTAGGTGTGTGTGCAAGAGTTAAGGAAATGTGGACTAAGCATGCGATTTCCTCAATCACATGATCAGAGTTGAGCCTGGTGATAGCAGCAATGTCTTCTGAGGCCTGAGGAATTATTATTTTATGGTTGCTATTGTTTTATGTGTGTTTATGTGCATGAGCATAGAGGTCAGAAGACAGCTTGCAGAAGTTGGTTCTCTCCTTCTACCACATAGGTCCTAAGGATCGAGATCAGTCCACCAGGCTTGACTGCACGTGGTGTCCCACCTCCCTGAGGACTATTGCTCCTTGCTTATGATAAGACAGGTGGACACATGGACTCAGACAGGACAAGCCGAACACAGTTGTTCTTGATAAAAGATGGTTCTACACTGAGGAGAGCGTTGCTCTGTTTCCACCCTTACTTCATGTGTGTCCTGAGTCTTGAGTATGAACCAGTTACGTGGACGTTTAGAAGCTGCCTACATGATATGTGAGCCACAGCTGCGCTGTGACTTGGGGAGCAGGCCATGGCTTTGTTTTGTGAGTGGAGCTATCAGTCCCATGGGAGCAGGGAGATGAAAGTTTGAGCTTGAGAAAGTCTGGCAGTCTGTGCTGCCCTTGGGAGATACTTAGAAAGCAGAGTCCTCCCTTATAAGCATCCCTTGTGATCCTGGTGATCAAGGTTTTGGTTTCAGGGGAAAGATTCGGCTACTTTTGTTTATGGCACTTATCAAGAAAATGATGCTTTTAAAAGACAAGAGTGGGGGGATTGTTCATTTAAATTCTGAATCTATAACATTCATGAACTGGGGTCTAAGAAGGTGGCTCATTGGATAAAATGCTCGCCATGTAAGCATAAGGACCAGGATTCAAGTCCCCAGCAAGCATGGAAAAGGCAGGCAGATGGGATGCATGCCTGTAATCCCAGCACTCTCAAGGCTGAGAAGAGGAGGGAGGGTTCTCAGCAGCCCAGCTTGCTAGGCTAAAAGGCACGAGCTTTGGGTTAAATGACAGATCTAGCTTTAGTAAAGAAGGTAGACAAAGATCAAGGAATGCACTAGATGTCAACTCTGGCCTCCACGTAACTGGATAAGCATGCACACTTGCACCATGTGTGCCCACACATGTGATTCTGCATACATACACCATACCTATACATGTAAAATTAGGTAAAAATAAAGTTCATGAATTGGTAATATTAAAAATAACTAAAAGAATTAATGGCTATAACTTTGAGACATAAATTCCTATTTAGTAAAACAGTTGTTTTATTTTATTTTAAATACTCAAGTCAATGAATACTGAGAAATGTATACATCTGTGTGGCCCACACTACACGGGAAGTTTCTCAGTACCCCCACCCTGCCTCAAAATTGTAGAGTCACCTTGCCCTCTCCAGAGCTCACAATAAATGGAATCTCACATGTGTGCCCACAATGCACCCGGCCTTCTTTTCATGTTTTCAGTGGATCAGTAATTTGCTCTCAAATGGTAACCCACTGCATGAAGATATCAAAGACTCATTTATCCCTGCATCTCTTGGGATATTTGGCTTATTTCTATTTTGGGGCTGCTATGAAAGGGACTTTGTGAACATTCACATAAGTATTTTCTTGTGGGCGTATGTATGTTCTCATTTCCCTAAAGGCAGGCACCGCTGGGTCGTAGGGTGGGATATGTTTTACTTTGTGAGAAAGCACAAAATATTTTTCTAAAATATTCATGGCATTTTATATTTTCCCAAGCAGCTGTATGAGATTTCTGGTTACTGAGTATCAGAGCAACCTTTAATGTCAGAGTTTTATTTTAGCTTTCCCTTGGGTGTGAAACGGTGTGTGATCGAGGTTTTATTTCTCACTTCCCCAATGGCTAATGATGTCGAACATATTTTAGTCTGCACAGTGGCTGTTTATACACCTTCTTTTGGAACGTGTGCCCATATTGTGAGTGGAATTTAAGTGAGTCACGTGAGTTCAGATTGTTGGGGAAAGCCACTGGCAGGCTTTCTGCACATGATTGCTTTTCCTTAGCAGTGACTTCCCTGCTTATTTTATCATGAGAAATTTAATTTTGAGAAATTTTTGAATTTTTATAAAGTCCCCCAAATTGTTTTTTGATTAGTGCTTCTATATCCAAAAACTAATGCCTAACAAAAGACATAGATTTACATTTAAGTCTATTAATTTATTTTTCTTTTTTTTAAAAAGAAAGCAAACTACCTTTTTTCATTTTACATACAAATCGCAGTTCCCACTCCCTCTTCTCCTCTCATTCCCTCCTCCTTTCCCCTAACCCCATCCCCCATCCACTCCTCAGAGAGGGTAAGGCACATTGCTTTGGGGAAGGATCAAGGCCCTCCCTTCTATATACTGTGCAAAGTATCCCTCCAAAGAGATGCTCCAAAGAGGGCTCCGAAAATTCAGTACAAGCAGTAGGGATAAATGCTGCTGCCATTGCCAGTGGCCCTGCAGCCTGCCCCAGCCATACAACTGTCACCTACATTCAGAGGGTCTAGCTTTGTCCTATGCTGGTTCCTTCCCTGTCCAGCTGGAGTTGGTGAGCTCCCATTAGCTCAGGGTAGACTGTTTCAGTGGGTGTCCCCATCTTGGTCTTGACCTTATTGCTCATATTCTCACTCCTCCCACTCTTCAACTGGACTTTGAGAGGTCAGCTCAGTGCCCTGCTGCTGGTCTCTACCTCTCTTTCCATCAGTTGCTAGATAAAGGTTCGGTGGTGATATTTAAGATATTCATCAATCTGACTACAGGGCAAGGCCAGTTCTGGCACCCTCTCCACTATTGCTTAGGGTCTTAGCTAGGGTCATCTTTGTGGAGTCCTGGCAATTTCTCTAGTACCAGGTTTCTTGCTAGCCCCATAATGGCTCTCTCAATCAATTAATCTCTTTCCTTGCTCTCATCTCTGTCCTTCCTCCATCTTGAATATCCTATTCCCTCAAGTTCTCCTCCCTCCTCCCCTCTCCTGTCCTCTTTCTCTTCTACCTTCCCTTCTCCATTCACCCCCATGCTCCCAATTTTGTCAGGAGATCTTGTCTATTTCCCCTTTCCAGGAGGATCTATATATGTTTTTCTTAGGGTTCTCCTTGTTACTTAGCTTCTCTAGGGTCATATTATACTTTGCTTTACAGCTAGTATCCACTCATGAGTGAGTACATACCATGTTCATCCTTCTGGGTCTGAGTTACCTCTCTCAGGATGTTTTTCCTAGTGCCATCCATTAGCCATCAGGGAAATGCAAATCCAAAAGACTCTGAGATACCATCTTACACCAGTAAGAATGGCTAAGATCAAAAATACCAATAATAGCTTATTCTGGAGAGGATATGGAACACTCATTCGTTGTTGGTGAGAATGCAAACTTGTACAGCCGCTCTGGAAATCAGTATGATAATTTCTCAGAAAACTAGGAATATATATGTTCCTATTCCTTTTTTTTTTTTTACCACATTCAACTTAAATTTGTAAGCTACTTTAGGACATGTTTTATCTTCAACTTGCAAAGACTAAAATGTTTTATAGCAATTTTCTCTGTGCTCAGATAAAGGTATTTTTTGAGTCTATTGAATAATTTTGGCAAATATTTCTTTAACGCTATGGCACCCATGCAAATGCAGCAAAGACTTTGAGACTCTTTCCATGAGCAGAGGGGCATCACAAAAGCAGGAGGTGGCACACTATGAGTGCCCAGGTCTGCCTGGAGGTTCTAACACTTATGTCAGAGTCACCGACCCTAATACCATCCGACTTTCTCTTCCAGTATGAATACTTCAATGCCGTGTTGATCAACGAAAGGGACAAAGATGGGAACTTCTTGGAATTGGGAAAAGAATTCATCTTAGCCCCCAACGACCACTTTAATAATTTGCCTGTGAACATTAGTCTGAGTGACGTCCAGGTGCCAACGAACATGTACAACAAAGGTAAGACTCCTTGCTACTGCTCCTCTTTGAGGGCAAAGAGGAACACACACTGAGTATATCAGCTATTGCAAGCATCCTCTGGGCGGGTCAAACATGAATCTGTCTGCCTGGATGCTCTCTTCTTCATGTGAATGTGCAGTTCAGCTACCAGCAGGCCTTTTCTGTATCTTTGGCTCTGCCTGCCTTGCCGTCTCTGTTACAACTGGTTAACTACTGTGTTAGTTGGAAGCATGCCTGTTTCGTTTAACACCTTCATCTGCAAGATTACCCCACCTTAGAACGCATGCTTAGTATCCCAGTTGGTTCCTTCATTTTTCTACTCTCCTTCCTTGATGGTGTTTAAGAATTGGGGAGCTTCTGTGGTGGCTGAGGGGCAAGCTGTGTGCTATCCTCTTCCCTTCCAGCATAGAGAAGTGTGGACATAACAAGGTTCAGTGTGTCCAGGCCTAACTCCCCCAAATCCATTCTTCATGTGGACACAGAGGTTATTTTTCTAACATTCCTGTCTGCCCATTTGAGTTGGAAATTCAATGGCCGAGGACTGGGCACTGGCATCCAATGGTGCTGGCTAATCTCCTTGTTACACCTGCTTCCAGTGATGACTCCTCCCCTTGAGATCACGGTTCCTCCCCTTTCTAGTGGAAATAATGATTGTGTACAAGTTGGCTATGGTGACACACATATACAACTCCAGAACTTTGGAGGGAAAAGAATCAGGAATATTTATTTCCTCTTCTAAGTCAACCTGGGCTACGTAGTCAGAGGGTATAGGATGATATAGGTCTAGCTCTATGCACTAAACTGTCAATTTTGAGGAAATCACAAGCATATTAGCTTCCGAATTATTCTGAATCACCAGTTAAGGAGCCTGGTCAACCATAAGCTTCCATCGCAAGCTCAAGAACATTTTTCTTGTGCCTGTTTCTTGTGACTGGACACCCTTTCATGGTTTGCCTATCACTTGCCCTTCAGCGTCCAGGGAAGCAATTTCCTTTTTCTTTTCTTGCTTTTTTTTTTTTTTTTTTTTTTTTTTTTTTTTTTTTTCTTGCTTTTTTTTTTTTTTTTTTTTTTTTTTTTTTGGATTTTCGAGACAGGGTTTCTCCGTAGCTTTTTGGTTCCTGTCCTGGAACTAGCTCTTGTAGACCAGGCTGGCCTCGAACTCACAGAGATCTGCCTGCCTCTGCCTCCCGAGTGCTGGGATTAAAGGCATGTGCCACCACCGCCCGGCTAGGGAATCACTTTCCATGTCATTATTTATTCTGAAAGTTATTAGGGATCCCATAGTGAGCCAAACATAGCCACCTTCTTCAGAGAAGTTGTAGTCTGCTCGTGAGATAACTGGAAGACTGGGCATCAACATTCTAACCGCATCTCTGCAGAGTCATAGGACAGCAAAGTCCAGGGAATAGCTTTTCTTCCTCAATCCCCCTTTGAAAGGCAATAGCAGTCTATCCTGCCTTCAAAGAACTTGGGGTTGGGCCATGTCTGGGACCCTTAGGGCCCAAGTGGAGAGTTCAGCATTCAGCATTGCCCAATAGAAGTTAGACCAGGATAGTAGTAATAGCTGATGAAGACTTAAACTGCCTTTTTTGTGTAGTGTAGCTAGCAGGAAAAGCCATTTCTAGCGTTAAATATGTTCTGAACAGAAGATGAAAAATGAACACAATTTTATAGAGTAATTTCAGACATGAAACAATCCAAAATGGTCTTTTAAAACATGACAGTGACTTCAAGGTTGCTTGAGCCGTTAGCACCATGATAGAGATTTAATTGCACCTTAGGATTTAAAGGCCTAATTGTACCCTCTGATGGGAGTGGTGCAGAAGGGCTCACATTGCCATTGCTCACACAGGCTTTCCAATAGCCCCGTGAAGACTGCTAGGCAGAGTCCTGACAGTCTGAGAGTTTGAGCTTTAGGAGCTAAATAGATTTAAGTCATGCTTGGCAGTCCTCATGGGACCTGCCTGTCATCTCCTACCCAGGTTCAGCTGTCACCCTGCCAGGCTGTGGAAAGTGAACCAAGGTCAGCCAGGGGCTATATCTTGTCTCAGCCATGCAGGGACTAACTGCCCATAGGAAAGAGAGGGGGACTTAAAGAAAATTCTTGACTCTACTCTAACTCAAACCATCCTCCCAAAGTCTCTTTTCAAGCTGCAGAAATATATTTCATGTTTAGAAGGCCCCCTGCTTAGATCTGGTTACTGATGGCATGTACTCAGAACACAGGCTCTGGGCTTGGTCGCTGGCTCTCACGTCCCTAGGGTGGAATCTTGCCTTTGACAAAAGGAACCAGCACATAGTTCTTCTCCCCCAGCAGGCTGGAACTGTGAGCACACAGCAGTGTTTGTTTGATGCTCCCTAGTCGCTGCTGTGTGCTTGCTTCAGTGCTGGGCAGAATTTCCCGCTCTAGGTAAAAGTAGCAGATAACTCCAAAATGTCTCCCCTCTGCTTTCTGCTTCCTTAGCAACCAGGCCAGTGATTCTCCCTGTGGTTGCCGCTCTGTGGTTGCCATTCTCTTAGGTATAGAAGATACTGCACTTTTACCCGTGATGATGGGTGTGCGGTCCCACGGGGGCTCCAAAGAGCTGGATTTTCTGGGCTCTTTAGACAAGCCTTTGAGTATTTTTAGGCTTTAGATATGGTAGAGTCATTACTAACTATTCTTAGCAGATCACTAGGGGCTGTTAGTCTGACTCTTGGAGACAGGAACATGTAGACCCTTAGAGCTGTAAGTGTCTTCCAGAAGTGAAGCACAGGGTAGAAGCGTCTGCGCAGCTGCCAGCGATCTGGCAGGGGATGGGAAAACCCTGCACTCTTTGTTGAATACCTTGTAGGCAGGTCCAACCTTTGACATTGCAGCACCATGCAATTTACAAAACTCACACCCAAGAAATCCACAGGGGAGTTATAAAAACAAACATAAATTAAGTTCATAGGGTTTCACTAAGGTTTTGATTTTGCATTGGGCTACAGTCATAGGTATCTTGGAGTGCATGAGGACCAAGGGATCACCAGTAGGGCACACTTTAAGAAGGTGAAAGCATGCAAGATTTATAAGCACATGCCACATATAGATGGGGACATACCTGTACATATTAGGTATTATGTGTGGGGCACTGTATACATATATGCTTGCTCCAGTATGTGTGTGGAAGAAGATGCCCTGTTCTTCAAATCAACTCCATGGTTTCCATTTATCTCCTCTGTTTGCCCAGTGATCGCTCCTCCATCCCTTCCACATGCCTTTCTCTTCCTTTCAGCACTCACCATTAATTCCTACAACCCTTCCCTTCCCTCTCTCTGCTTCTCCGGTGCCCCATCCTTTAAAATCAGCTCCAGCATAGACTTCTTTGTTCCTTCAGACCTTGGTAGTGTGCGTGCCTCTGTGAGCATGCCTCTGTGAGCATGTCTTTGTCCTGGGCTTGTGTTGCTTCTGTGCCTTCATTCTTCCCTTAGACTCCTCTGAGGGCAGGGAAGCATCAGCCTAGTGCCCCTTTGTCTTGACTCCCCCCCATTCAGGTTATTTGCTGATGTCTGCTGTCCTAGTCAGCCAGAATTATGACATTCCATGGTTTTTCTAAGCAAGAGAGACATACTCTGGCTGACTCAAAAAGAAAAGATATTGGGTGGTTTACAAACTTTCTGCAAAAGAAAGAAGGTTTAGAATAAGGTTGTGTGGAGTGGGAGATGCGAGGGGCTGGAGCTACCTTCAGAACTGCCTGCTGAGAATTTCATGTCTCCATGACTAACCCCACCACCACATCCATGACTGCATACAAGTGTGAGTCCCATTTTCTTCAGCCATGAGTTTGAGTGGATAATGATGCCATGCCTGAGGAGGCTTTGTTAAAAAGCATAGGTAAGGCTGTCTGGCACATGGTGGCCATGTAGTGCAAACACTGTGATTTAAATGTACATGTCCTTTAAAGTTCATGGTTAACACTTCGTCACAGGGTGAGTGGCATTAGGAAGCGGGTCTTTTGGAAGATACTGAGGAGCTAAACTCTGAGAATGGGGTATAGTCCAAAGCTTTTCTATTGTCCCGCCCAATCCTGCAGCCACTTATAAAGTAATCACTCAGAGACTTAATATTAATTAAAATTGTTTGGCTGATGGCTCAGGCTTATTACTGGCTAGCTCTTACTTTTAAATTAACCAATTTCTATTCATCTTTGTATCTCCATGTAGTTCACCATAGATGCTATGACATCTCTCTCCTATGGCAGCTGCTGGTATCTCCCTTGACCCCACCTTCTTTTTCCCTGTAACTCTGTTTTGATTCCCCACCTAGCCATGTTCTGCCCTGCCATAGGTCAAAGCAGCTTTATTCATCAACCAGCAGAAGCAGCACATATTTGCAGCATGCATAAGGACACCCCACATCACTGGGGGAGTTTTGGCTAGTGGGGCTGGGGTGCTGAGCATTGGGGGTTGGGCTCTTGCAGATTCTGGTATAGTTCAAGACATGATCCGTGGAGTCTCAGAAGTCTAGTCAGGCATGGGAGGATGGGAAAGCCATCAGAAGCTCATGGAAGCCAGAAGGCTAGTTGACAACTTGGCCAGGAATAATTACGTCATGTACCCTGGGATGTATTCACCCTGAAGAAGACTGAGAAGGAAGAAGAGTCTGGGCCTTGCTTGGAGAACATCATGGGAGAGAGATATGCATGGCCCAGGACTAGAGGGAGTCCCAGAGTTGCAAGTGCTATCTAGACCTTGTAAAATAAGGAGCCCAATACATTGCCCTTGATACGGTACACAGATAACAGATTCCTGCTGCAAGGAACAAATGAGTGAAGGCTGCAACCAAAACTACAGTTGCACTTAATCCATGCGTGGAAGAAGAGGAGGTTCAGGAAGTGTCCAGTTTTGCTTCTTCCTCTCATTGCTTAGTCATGGAGGGGGATGACAGGATACACTACCCCAGCCGAGTTGATGGGAAGGTGTGAATTGCAGGATGTAGCCTAGGATAGTCCTTTATTGCTAGACTTCCCAGAAGC